ACAGATAATAACTTGTATAGAAGTTTGATTTGGTTCTAAACTAAATTTGTTTTTCGTCTTGAAAAATTATTCTTTCTATTTTACAAGTTTTTTAAAGACTTTACCAGTTTTCCTTGTATATCTTGTACAACATAACGATTTTTACGATAGAATCCAAGTAATGCATCAATTGTTCCAGAATCCTGCATTATTCACAAAACTATTATTTGTAAATTGTCCTGTATTCAAATTATTATTATTTCTTGCTTAATATATGCATTTACTAAAAAACGTAATATACCAGTGCTATTTGCATAAGAAGAGCATGCTAACAGATACAGAAAGATTATATTTTGTAGAATTGTTTTAGCTTTAACCTAAAACTAAATAATTTAGTAAATAGTTAATAAATACTGATGAATAACCTGACAAACGACAAATTGTGTAAAGGATTTAAGCAAACTTGAAGCTGTTTGATCATCTGATGGAGTGTGGTTGATGGCAAATTCACTAATCAATCCCAATTTATCATAATGGGAATCTTCTTCTGTATGTTCTGATTTCCGATCGTAAAAGCAAATAGTTTAATTGATAATATAATTATTCAAAATTAAAACTATCTACAAAAGTAATACTAAAAATTCTCTACTAATATCAATGCTACAAAAAAGTTTAATAATATAATTACTTAAAACTTCGAAAATATTTATAAAAATATACTGAAAATTTGGTGCAAAATATTATCGCTACAATTTAATCACTTTACTATATTCATGACTTATAATTCTGATTATGTAATTCTTTTTATTAACAAATGTGCAATTTTCTAATCAAACAATCTTACTACGATTGTATTAAATAATGATTTTTATTAGACTCTGATTATCATTATTCGCAATTACTATATTATTATTACTGAAATTAAATATTAATTATTATTAAATAATTAAATAGTTATTTTAAAACCTTTTCCGGCAGTGTTCCGATCATTACTTTCATTATTAGTTGTGTTTAAGATTGCATTCTTGTTCAAATGTATGTGTATGCGTGAAGTTGTCTGCTTGGTAATGTTGGCAAGAGCAAAATATTCAGATTCTCGATCAGAAGATTTATCTACAGTTGTAGATTCTTGCAGATCATTTTCTTTTTTTTTATTCATCTTCCCATTCAACATTTCTGCAAAAATTTATTCACTTTAATTCATATTATAAAGCATTTTTTATTAACTTTTAAACATTTTGAAGTTTTTTAGATATAATTTCTTCAAATAATTTTGAATTAAACAAGTTTGCTATATACAGAATTCAAAAAGAAATCTCAAGCTATGTTAATGGTATTAAATTTAATCTTAGACAATTTTATATATATATAATAATTAAATTTTGGATCAAATTATAATTTTAGATTAAAAACTTGTTCTGGCATAAAATTTTGATCACTTTTAAATTAGACATTAGATTACATGACTTATTTTCAGATGTTTCTGACTTCAAAAGCAGAAAGTCATCAGTGACATTGAAAGTAAGAATTCAGTAACAGGTCAAAGTTCAATTTAATTCATTAAAATATTTAAAAAATTAATCGTTGAGAGCATTTAATTGAGGATGATAGGTGTTGCATATTATTAGTAAATAAGTTGGATCAAAGCTGAATGAGATATCACTTCAAATGGTTTGTTTAATGAAACCAAATTTAAAATAATCAGTGTTAAGTTTGATTACTGTGTTATTGCTTATATTACCAACTTCATACTTTAGCGTTTCCCCCAGAAATCGCATCGAATGAAAGCGAAACATATTATTAACTCTAAAATTAAAAGATTTGTGAGACAGTACTCTCACCTTTGACCTTTTTCCACTTCTTACGCATCATACAGCCAAAAAAGCTCAAAATTATTGAGACAATAATAACTGTATGCAAAATCTTCTGCTTTTATTTGGAAGCCTGAAACTAATTTTAAAATTTTTGCATTTTTTATTGTGAGTTTGCATTCTTAAGTAGCAATAATTTTCATATTCAATAGTTTAGCAAAAAAGTAACGTACAAAAATATAAAATAAATTGGACACAAAGGGTTGCGAGCAGCCAATCATTCTGTAAATCATTACGGGAAATTTCAAAAAAGTCATTTATACGTGAACACGTGTTATTTCAATTTAAAGCATTACTCATATGCATTTTAAATCTATCTCGACCGAAACCAAACTTCTGATTTGAAGTAAAATCATTCAAATTTCGTGGTATTACTTGGATCAAAAATAAATTTGTATAAGTTAAAACTGCTCAATTTGTATGCAAATTTTTGCAAATGCTATAAATTTGAGTTGATAAAAAATTATGGCATTATTTAGATTATTTACGCAATGATATGTTATTCTTCTGGATCGTTTAGGCAATGTTTTATGCAATTTAATATTTTCTTGAATACAATATTCAATATCTGCTCATAACAGCACTGATTCTGAAC